GAAACAGTTTGCCACAACCCCTCGTTTGTTGTCCTCTTCTCCCTCTCTGCCTACGGTTTACCGGGCAGCTCTGTTTGCCCGGTAAACCGTAGGCAGAGAGGGAGAAGAGGACAACAAACGAGGGGCTGTGGCATATACAGATATATATATATATATTTGTGACGATATATATATATATATATATATATATATATATATTTTCAGGATATTCATGGACAATATGCATTCGAACATTGGGGGCATCAGTCAGAATTCTCAGTACCTTCACCACTTCAAAAATTTCAGAATCTTGCATGTTTGTACAAAAAGGGGGCATTCAACTTTTTCAGATCGTTGAAAACCGATTTCAGAAATCACTCCATGATTATTTTTAGCACCACTTCAAAATTACTTAAAATCTTGCAACTTTTCAAAAAATGTTTTTAGTACCTTTTTGCATATTAGTAGGTTGATCTAGTATCAAAGTCACAAGACTCACAGGAAAGAATACATGATATATTTTTAGTTGTGGAAGCTTTCTTGATTGTTGTGTTTCATGCTAGATCTTCTACTTTTTTATGTGTTCTTTGAAAGTGTTTTAATCTATATGTTTACTATTATAGGGATACCGGTTTCTAGATAGAGAAAAATGTGAGCGGGATATCAATTCTTCTTATATACTTTACTTGGATTTGTTTTCATGCTTTTAACTATTACTATTTTATTGATTTTATTCCACATGGGAACCACTAATTTACAAATCTTGTTAACCACAAAATTTAGCGAATAACATCAAATATTGCTATGGATCGCCTTTTTAAAGTTTTTTTTGCATCTTTTGCACTGAAGTACCTATGGTACCATACTGCCAGTTTATATTTGGTTACCTGAAGCTTATCTAGAAGGACCCACTGCTGGATCTCTTATCTTAGCGGGAATTCTCATAAAATCGGGAAACATTTTTCAAAATTTTCAATATTAATATTTCGAGAAGCTACTCTTTATTTCACTCCTTTCATTTATACTCTTAGTGTCATAGATGATACCATAATAGTGCCTCTGAAACAAGCATGTCAGCGATGAGTCGTTGACCACTTGAGACACTCTTTAGTCATTTCTCCCACAACAACAGGGTACTGGCCGCCAATTGTTTATCGAGTTGAGAGAACTTGAGACTCTTGTGAGAAGCTTAGGAGCCAGTACGCAACGACAAAGGAGGCTTTTATTTCCATATCAGGGTTCCATATAAGGGAGGTTGGACCAGGTTTCCATATCAGGGCTCTTCTCTCCTAAACAGGATAGTTGATTACGAATAGAAGCCTTCGAAATTCAGACTCAAGGTAGATAAGTAAACAACAGGGGTCGAGCGGCAGTGCATCCTCCCTCTGAAAAAGAAGTAATCAATACTGCTGCCCAAGGTTCCTTGACCATAACCACGGGATGTGTTGAGTAGGTCTCACTGATGAAGAGATGCTGGAACCGGTTACCAGCAGCATAGAACAAAAGGAAAAATTTCTCTTTTTGAAGGAGAAGGGGACGGAAGAAGAAAAGAAGAAGAAGAAGAAGAAGGAGGAGGAGGAGGGGGAGGAGGAGGAGGAGGAGGGGGAGGAGGAGGAGGAGGTAACAATCACGGGGGCAAACGAGGGGACGAAAGAAGAAAAGAAGAAGAAGAAGAAGGAGGAGGAGGAGGAGGAGGAGGAGGTAACAATCACGGGGGCAAACGCAACCCCGATTTAGAAAACCCATGAGCAGAAGATGCGAGTTAGCCCGATTTGAGGAAGTGGATGAGAATTTTTTACAAAAGCGTGGCCGGGTGTGTGCACATCAATGGGATAATATCGAAAAACTAGCCTATCTCTAGATCAGTAAGGCAAGGTGACCCACTAAAGCCACCTGTTTTCCTATTTGTGATGGAGGCAATAACCTTCCTATGCAAGGCCCTATCGATTCACAGGTATCATGAAGTCAACGCTTCCAACTCTTACCGCATAAAATTTCCAACCATGAATGTTTGCTAACCACCTTACGATGTTGATCCGGGACTCTAATTCATCCGTAAGCGCATTAGTCCAGGCGATGAAAGCATTCATCAGACTTTCCATTGAAATGAAGATCCATTGGCATGGACAGTGGGATGATGCTTAGTTATCTGATTGAAAAAAACCAGCTACAAGGGCGAGAGAGTTAAATGGAAAGGGTATGGACAGAAACCCCATCGAGATGTTGGATTTTCACATAACAAAGACGGCCCAGCCCCGCAAATGGCACAAAATCTTTTATCCACTCAAATCAGCAGAATGGGGAAGTGAAATCAAACATTTACGTTGTTCTTAGGCACAAAGCCCTGACTATAGACACATCCATCTTCATGACTTGGTATATACTATATAGCCTCTATCGGGACAACCCTTGATCGCACCAGTGATGAGTTACACTCGAAGGCCAGATCGTAAAAAAGAAGATTTGTTTTGGAAGGCCTCTATCGGGACAACGAGCCAATAGCATAAGGACCAATTTTGGAAAAACCCGACGGCCTCTATCGGGACAACGAGCCAATAGCATAAGGACCTGTTTTGGGAAAAACGAAAAGAAAAGAAAACAACGATTCGGAACATCCATTAAAATTGGAAAGATACAAAGAAGATTAGCATGGTCCCTGCGCAAGGATGACACACATAAATCAAGAAATGGTCCAAATTGGGTGGGGGGAGGGGGGGGAAAGGGGAAAGAACGAGGGGGCTGGCTGATACCCTGATGAAGTCCCTCCAAGCCTCTATTTTTTTCTGAGTGTTCCCCTCATTCCTACATGTGTGTGCGTGTGCGTGTTATAGACTGTTCAAAGAAGAACACATTTTCCACCCAGATGAGAAGATCCAAAACTGAAACAGCCTTACCTTGGTGTGTGTTTTGTCACATTCGCTATGCACAACTCCACAGAAAAAGCTTGAGTGTGCCAGACTGTTTCATTGGACTTTCACCGACTCATCAGAAAGTAGTCTGTTGTCATGTTCCCTATACACTTCAACAAAAAGCACGACTGTGTGTATGTGTGTGTGTGTGTGTGTGTGTGGCAGATATACGGATCTAATAGGTCTTCTTGCAGATCCTAAATTCTTAACATATTGCTACGAGAGTAAGCCTGGTAACATGACTCCTGGAAAGGCGCGAAGCGCTCTTGATGGACTTACAAAAGAATGGTTTACTCACTTAGCAACTCTTTTTCAACAAGGGCGCTTCGCGCCGTGTGTGTGTTTGTGTGTGTGTGTGTGTGTGTGTGTGTGTGTGTGTGTGTGTGTGTGTGTGCGTGTTGTAGATTTTCAAAACAACAGTCCCTGTGTGTGTGTGCACGCATGTGTGCATGTGTTGGCCTCTCTCAGCCTTCTTGTAAATGTGCACCAACGAATCTATCTCAGGTTATGCCTCGGTCTCTAGCAATGATCTCTCTGTTGGAGACAAGGGTCTGATGCTAACCTTGAAAAGGTAACATGAATCTCACCTTTGCCAGACGGTGGATCATCAGGCTTCTCATGTAGACCACTAGGATACTTGCAGTCGCTGCGACCAGAGTTTCCCAGGCCAAAGAAGTCGTAGAACACCCGTGATGATGATGCTGATGGTGCAGTAGCCTGTGCAGAAAATGATAAGCACAATCCAACACCAGTCGGTATCAATGTCCCTGATTTTATCCCCTTTTTGATAAAACAGTGTAATTAACTTATATCAAGTATTGTCAACACAACTACTTGCCATCAATTCACAGTGTGACAGTACCCACAGGGGTCACAATAAGGCTGTGACAGTACCCACAGGGGTCACAATAAGGCTCTTCTATGGCGCATACATCAATTTCAGCTGATGTTATTTATTGACTGATATGTATTGAAGTCATGACTGATATGACTTGAAGTCAATGGACATTCCCCATTGAGTGTGCACCATACTTATGGTGCACATTGAGTGCAGCAGAGACACTCTGAGCAGAGCACCACTGAAAATAGGGGGAGCACAGAAAGAAGGGGGAGGGGGACGGATGTGGTGGCACACCCTGCCCCTCCCGCCGAAAGAATTCTGCCCCTAGAGTTGGAAGTTCCAAATTCATTGGTCAATCGGCAGGCTCGCCAAAGTTTGATCGAAGAGGAGCCTCAGAGACTACAAGCGAAGCAACTTTTGCCGCCTCTTAGTGCTGCGCAAATGGCATGGCAAGCGCCGTAGCGTAAGCTGGCAGGAAAGTTGAAGATATAGTCCATTCAGGGCTGCGCTTGGCACCCCCCCGAAAAATAGGTATTATGGAAGTATGGTAGTGTGTGTGCTTCTGTGTGTGCATATGCGCATGCTCTTGCCTGTGCACGCATGCATGTGTTGCAGATTTTCACCACAATGGCCCCTGTTCCACACAGATGAATAGATCCAAAATCGAAGCACCTTTACCTGTATTGCAGACAATGAAGGACACTTGAGATGAGCAAATATTACAATAAAACAGTTTTACCTCTATTGCAAGCAACATGGAGCAGAATAGATCCGTTATATCCCTTTCTTGACAGTCTTTACCTTGGATTTCTTTGAGGTGTCCCTTTTACTTGTTCTTGCAGCTCCCTTTTTATGTGCCTCTCACGTACAAGGCTGGCCACCTTGACTGTGGTTTAGCGCCAGCTGCCCACATCCCCGTGTCCTTTAACGGCCCACTTGCACGCTACGAAAGGAAGAAGAGTAAAGGAGGAGGTCTACTCCTGTTCATTTTTCTTCAGATCTTGTGCTTATGTTTTGTCTGTTCTGTTAGAATGCTCATTCACATGCATTTACTGGTAATGCACAAGAGGAGGGAGGAAGGAAAGCGGTAGGGGGGGTTGCGGAGGGAGGAGGAGAGAGAGGAGGGACGTGGAAGAGCAAAGAACGGAAGAGAGGAGAGAAACTTTAGAGGGTTCCCCATACTCACAGCTCGGGCAGACTACTCTAGAATGGCACAAGAGGACAGTCAGTGTTTGGGTTCCAGGAGATTTTGAGTTAAGGAGCAAGCAGCCTTTGCCTGTGGTAAGTGGGCACCCCTACAGACCGGACAGGACCAGTTCCGGTGTGGACTGTGGACGCACCGCATCCAATTCTCGCAGATGCAGTTGCTGCATTGAATGGCACTGTGTAGACTGATTTCAGGAACACAGAGGCACGATGACCACAATTGTATAGGCATTGCCGTTCCAGCGCTTGTCGACAGATTGGACATGACATGTCAGGGTGCCGTACACGAGTGCAATGTTGACTGTCATCATACATATGAAAACAAAAGTTGCATGGGCTATGCCTTAATAATCCTCACGACGCAAAGCATGGAAATCGCATGCTAGCCGGATCTCAGGCAGGGCCATCACAGAGCGGCATTTAGCAAATTTCTTGGGTTTCCGTAGACATTATCCCTTCTCTATGAGCAGGCGACGACGGGGATTTATGCAAAGTAAGGGTGTTCCGCTGTTGCAAGATTCGGTCTGCAACAGCTCGCTCTGGTGGCGATAACCATTCAGTACAGAGCACTGTAGGTGGTTCATGTGAGCGCCTATTTTCCACCTCAGGCTGCTGTGCCTATTGTTCGTCTGGCAAGCATGAAGGAGATCCGACTTCGGGTGCAGCAGGAGTATGCCCAACACTGCATGCAGGACATGCCAAGAGAGGATGTGCCGGATAATTGCATCGGGGATCGTTCACGCAGTAGAGAAACATACTTCCAATAACAGCCTCCTGGAAAGATTGACAACACATGGCAGTTGCTGACATGCCAGCAGGAAAGCAGGCTGACATTCACAGCTATTTAAGCATGGCATGCCAAGGCCACAATGGCATATCGGGCAAGTAATAAGTGGTGGTTGGGGGGATGAGCGCACAACAACAGGTCGCAGTTTTCATGGCATTCTCACTTTGGTGTGCGGAAATTTCCGTAACATCAGTGGACCTCCAGCCCATAAATGATCCAGGCTTGAAGCTTCCATCACTTACTCAGGGCTTTCAATACTGAGTTTTTTTTTTCCCTTCTAAGTTCTAAACAGTAATTTTTAGACCATTTCTCGATTTATGTGTGTCATCCTTGCGGAGGGGCCATGCTAATCTTCTCTGTATCATTCCAATTTTAACAGATGTCGTGAAGGACATATCCTCGTCATTGTGGTTTCTGCATTATCTTCTTGCCCACGTCACACACACACACACACACACACACCTGTCTCTTATACACATCTAGATGTGTATAAGAGACAGGTGTTGTTCATCTTAGAACTATGGTACTCAAGGGGGGAAAAAACCCTCCCCCCCCCCCCCCCCCCCTCAATTTCGTGATTTCTTGATTGGGGCCACGCTAATCTTATCCGTAGCGTTCCAATTTCAATGGACGTATCGAAGAAGTTTAGCTGAGATCAGTGATCACACATTTGATGGGATATGTCACAGATCATTGAAATTGAACATTCACAAAAATTTCACATCAAAAGATTCAAAACTGTTGATGAAACCAGGAGAGTTTCATAGAACCGAGGTTACCGAGCTACCATCTTCCCCAAAATATACGACAGGTTTATTACATCTGCCTTTTGCACAACTGTGGGATCACACCCGCCTTGTTCGGCAAAAGACACTAATTATGCCAACTCTTTCTTGCTGTCACCTTTCTCAAAGATATTCACCCAATCCTCCCTGGTACGTCTTCACCCGAATAGAACGCCTGGTCATTATTGCTGTATTTTTTGGCCCAACTTTCGGTCCAGATGCAGCGATAATGACCGGGCGTTCTATTCGGGTGAAGATGGTAGTCACTGGAACATTCGAAAGCTTAAAATGATCTTCAAGCTGATCCAAAAGAATGGCCACAAATTCGGAATTCCCACAATTCAGAACCCCAGTTTCATGCCCTCTAAAACAGCGTCAGCTTTCTTAAACGGCCTTTGGATAGGTCCTCTCTGGTCTGGTTTCCTTATATGGTTTCGGCAAACTGCGGGAATGGCCACAGTCCTTTCCCACATTCCAGTTTTAGTCCAGTAATCTGCAAGCACACGCTCTGCTGCTAAGCTCGTTAACCCATTGACTGGTGAACTTCAAGCAGTCCGGTGATGTCGATGTCGGCATAGAGACAGTCCAAGAGCACTCAGAAGTTCTAAACGAGGTAGGCAAGCAAGCGATGCAGCAGGAGAGAGACGAGGGGGGAGAGGAGAGGGCGGGCACAGGGGGAGCAGCAGGATTCAAGTGTGTATAACCTTAGGAGTGTGAGCTTTGAGCTTTGGAGGGAGAAAAAAAAATGGAGGAAGGGATATGTCGAAGGGAAGAATGGCTGAAGGATGATAACAAGGGAAGATTTATGAGAACGTACGAAATTCCAAGAGTTGATAGGTCCTTGCCCAGCTTGGGTGCAGTTCGACGACGTCATGGTTTCCTCACTTTCAAATATCACCCGGTTATGGTTTTGGACCCGCGTGCCAAATCCCTGTGGAGATGCTTGCTGCCTTGTGCTTGCTCTAGACAGCGAGACGTCTGAATCACAATCACCAATGATCGCATCCTTGGAAAACGAGTCCTCGGGTCCCCCTCTGCATGAAGTCTGCGCATAGTTCGGTGGGTGAGGCTGAGCAGCTCTGGGGCGAAGTGATGCGGATGGCTGGAGCACTGCATGGTTCGCTGGCTGAGGCTGAGATGATGTGGGACTGAGTGATATAGATCGTTGGAACACCGGAGGCAGCAGCTGGTCTAATCATCCACATATGTAGGGCAAGGTGGCATTTCATCATAACACAGAAAAACGAATCCCATATTAGCCTCCTTTTTCAAAGTCACAGACCAAGAGCTGGGAAAGCAATTGGTTATCATCATGACTTATGATGGCCGCAATAAAAAATCATTGCATTAGCAATGCGTTAGCACAAACACAAACTCCAAGACGAGGATGTTTGGGAGTAGGAAGCTCGAGACTGGCAGTTCTGCAACTATGAGTGCGAGTGGTACATGCTTTATGACAAATAAAACGAACCCATAAAAGCTTGTCAAGAGCGCGCACACACACACACACACACACACACACACACACACACACACACACACACACACACACACACACACA